ACATATAGAATTCCTTCTCATTCTTCATGACCCAAATGAAAAGCCAGCTCTTCTAGGAAGACTTTTCTAATTCTAACTATGAGTTACTTTCTCTTATTTCCTTATTTCTTAGGACACTTGTCTATTATAGCCCTTATCATATTTTTTATATCATCTGCTTTTCTGAGTGGACTATGAGCTGGAGAATAAGAACTGTGTTTTATTCATCTTTGTATGCCCATCGTCTAACATGATATACTGGGTACATTCTAGAAGACTCTCAGTAGATGTTTTTTAAGTGAATTAAGTGATGCACACATAGTAATTATTTGTTGTTTAACTGATCACATTAATGAGAAGAAACTCTCTCTAATTAAGATTTCATACCCAATAGGCAAATATTCTTTCTAAGTCAACACTTTTGTCACTCAATGGATAGCAACACCCACATAATTTTAGAACTTGGAGTCGGAAGGGCACCTGGGTGGCTAAGTCAGTTAAGCATGCACCTCTGGCTCAGGTCATGATCCCAGGGTCCCGGGATTGAGCCCTGTATCCAGAGCCCTGCTCAGGAGAGAGCCTGTTTCTCCCTCTGCCCCTCACCCCACTCATGCTCTCTCTCTCTCTCAAATAAATAAAATCTTAACAAAACAAAACAAAAGAATTTGGAGTTGGAAAAATTGTACGTATCTAGTCCAACATCTTTATGAACTCATTAAGGCTCACTTGTAATTAGCAGTACCAGTTTTCCTGTTGATAGTTAACTAAAATCTTCCATATGTTTGTTCTGTTAGGTTAAACATGTACCCAAGAATTCAAGTGATACTATTTGTCTGCTTACAAACCTTTTTTTCCATCAATGAACTTCAATTCAAAGCAAATTATCCCTAATTCTAAGCTCCTTACATCCAAATGAATAGAATTTTAGCATTTTTTGCATATTTGCTTTATATCCTATTATTTTATTGCACTTTGTATCGTATTTTCTTCACAAATATATTTAGACATCTGGCACTAAATTTGGTATTGTCCTGACACAATAATCATTATTATCACTTGACACTGAAGGAACTACCATGTGGATGGATTAATGTATTGTTTAATGAAGGAGAGAAGTTACTTTAAGAAATGCTAGTCGCAGGGTGCTTGGGTGGCGCAGTTGGTTAAGCATCAGACTCTGGGTTTTAGCTCAGGTCATGAGATCAGGGTTGTAGGATCCAGCCCTGCTGAGCATGGAGTCTGCTTGAGACTCTCTTTCCCTCTCCCTCTACCTCTTCTCCACCAACCCCCCACCCCCATGTTCACTCTCTCTCTCCCTCTCTCTCCAATAAATAAATAAATCTAAAAAGAAAGAAAGAAAGAAATGCTAGTTGTCAAAACTCTCTGGACTTCAAGTCAGGTGGATATAGTTATTTGTAGTAATGGTCCACACAACTGCATTTTTCTAAGGAATTTTTACACAGTATTTAGTAAAGTATATTAAAGAAGCTTAATGAGAGGTTTTTTTAATAGTCTACTTAGACCCTTAGTGAGATTGGAAATGAGTGATTTTACACATTTGTTTTTTGCTTCACTAATCTTCAGTGCCTAAATTGCTGTCTTTTAAGTTCGGGGGGAAAAAAAAACAAAAACAAAAACCTTTTTACTTTTAACTGCACACTTATCAAAAGCCCCCTACTTAATTTACTGGCCCTTATTTGTGCTAATTTCTAGAGAAGCTATTATCCTGTCAGTTAATCAAGTACCTTCCTTTGTTATTAACATTAAACTGCAGAGCAGCCCAAAGTCTACATTTCCCAGTGCTGTGGCATAAATGTTATCACACACTAGAGTATAAACCATATTCCCTTTAAGCCATCTTTAAATGTTATTATTTTCCATTTCTACTCCCTTCAAGAATTCAAGTGGAAAACTTAACATAACTAATGATAATCTTACTCAAATACCAATTGATAAATATGTGTAAAACTTCTACTTATTTGTGCCAAATAGCAGTATGTAATATGAGTAACTTCTCCCACTTCTAAGGAACATAAGGAGCAGGAGTAGGATGGGTATCCCCACACCCAAAATGAGGTTTGGATGTTGAGATTGATGACGATGCCACACATGCAGCAAGAGGGTTTGAAAATGTTTATTACCCACATACTGAGGCTTTCTGAAAAGACTAGGATGGGCTCCCAAGCAGGTGTGAAGATGGCTTGAGAGAGCAGGGAAAGGACATTGTTTGGGGTATTTCATGGTGGTTAGGGGGTGGGGCTGGGGTGAGGATTCCTGGGCATAGTCTAGGGCTCGCACAGTTGGAACTTTCTGCCAAAGGAAGGAGCACCGAGTCTTTCTTATCAGCTTGCTCAGATGTGGGGCCAATGGGAAGGGGAATGGTAGAGCTTGAAAGCTGTAAGCAAACATAAAAAATGGAGTTATACTCTGTATAAAACAGTTATAAATGGGAGGACACCTAGTTTATCAGTTACCTATTGCTTCAATAATATTACATAACAATCCTAAAATCTTAATGACATACAAAATAAATTTTTATTGTTTGCCTATCTGGAGTTGGCTAGACAGCTCTGCTGATCTTGCCTGGATTCATTCACCTGCCTGAAACAACTGTCAGCTGAACTCAGGTGGCTATGCCCAGAATGACTGTGGTGACTCAGCTCTGCTCCATGTCTCTCGTCCTCCAACAAGCTAGCACAGCCATGCTATCACGGCAAAGGCAGAAGTGAAAGAATAAGCACGCCCCATCACACAAATACATTTTAAGCTTCTGAATGTGCCATTTTCTTCTAAAATCTATTGGCCAAGGAAATTACCTGGCCAAGCCTAGAAGCATAGTGGGAAAGCAAAAGATGTGTAGATGGAAGAGCAAAGAATTGGGACAATTTTCACAACCTACCGCACAAATGGATTACTAACATATCACAACCTCTTATCCTTACTTGACAGTGCTGAGAGAAGGACAGTCAATTCAATGAGCTACTCATTGTACATGCTAGGCACTAGGAATTGGGGCTACAAAAATAAATGAGAGAGGGCTAAGGAGGTCACAGTCTGATACTGGGGAAAAATTAAATAATACATTATTAAAATAAAATTCAGTGTAATAAGAGCAATAACAGATATTTTAATGAGGTAGCACAGGAAAGACACTAACTCTTTCATCTCCTTTATCATAGATTTCATAGCCAATTTAATGGATTGTATTGTAATCACTGTCATCAAATTTCCTCTTGGTTTTGAAGACATAAAGAAAAAGCTAAGATTCTCCAATGAATGGCTTCATAAAAGTTCAGGCTCTTTAAAAGCAAAATTAGATTGTAAGTATGCTAGGTTAGCAGAAAGTCACTGCGTTCTCTTGTTGATCCATTACATTTAGTAGTCATACAGTTTCAACCAAAATTTATTGTGTGCATCCCTGGGCAAGCTATTTTGCTGGGAATTTTCTAAGAACTTGGGGTTACCTAGCAAAGATGACTAAACAAAGATGACTAAAAAAATAAGATCTGCCTCCAGATAACTTACAGTTTAGTCCTGCTGACTCTTAAGTTTTGCTTAAAGCAGAAGTTGGGAACCTGGAGCTCCCTCTAACTCAGGCCATTATGGGGACACAGCTTAAAGATCTGAAGATTCTTCAGTCATCTCATGAGTTTACAGTCAAGTACACTCTCATATGTAGATAAATGGTGACCCATTCCACAGAGCGGGGTTAGTGGAATGGGACATTATATGAAGCCTAGAACTAAGGCAGACCTCGAATAGAAGAGATATCTTAAGATAGCTCAGAAATCTCCAGGTCACTAGCTATGACCGGAATCATAATTGGTGAGGGGTTATTCTAGTACAGTTTGAAAATAAGATGAGTTAATCTTCCAACTTGTGGCAGATTAAACTTTGAAATGAAATTCTTTGAGACTTGAAGATAGGGACAGAAATGCTTTGCTGGATCTTCTCCAATACTCAAGATTTCTCAACAGGGAAACGTTTTGCCATTGTTCGGAAATATTTTTTCTTCTAGTTAATCCACGTTATTTCTAGGGGGCTTCACCTAGGAAAAAGACTAATTCCTTATGTTCCTTCCCTCTCTTTCGGTATGTTCCCTACTCCCCTACCTTTAAACTGTCAAGTGGAATCTTTGGGGAAGACGGAACAGAAGTGGGCAGGCAGAGGGTTTGGAAACTAGACTGAAAATAGATTCTCCATAAACCACCACCATCCTATCTGGATCGATTCCTTGGGATGCGTTTTATTTCCATTAAAAACTCAAAACTTTCAAACGTTCACTGTTCATGTCTCAAAACTTGATGGGAAAAATACTCAACATTTGAAGTAGTCAAGAAAAGCTTGAAGAAATAAAAGAAATCAATTGCTCTCTGGACCACTTTAGGAAGCAGGCGTTCCTGGACAGCCTTCAGGGTTCCTTCGCAAGGGGAACCTACGACGGGTGTTAAAAAGCCTCTCGAAGCGCTGTTCTTTTTAGAAAACAAAAGCAGTACAGGAGGTGGGGGGACTGATGGTGCCTAACGCCAGCGGGACAGTGGCACTTTCTTCCTCCTTTCGCTCCCTTCTTCTCCTCCATCTCTACCCCGTCCTGTGTGCCTATCGCAGCCCCGGCTTCCCGGCTCTCCCAAAGCCCCTCGCCGGTCAGAGGCCGGCGACTGCGCCCAGCCCGGGTCCCGCTCGGCCGGGTCGGCTCCCCCACTCCGCACTCGGCCCTTTCCCTCCGCCGCCCACGCTCCCCGCTCCGGCCGCCTCCTCTCTTCCCAGCGAACGGGCTTGCCCGCCAAGGGGGCCGCCCCGGCCTCGGCCCTCCCCCGGCCCCGGCCGGCCAGACCATAAAGAGTTGGGCGGCGGCCGCCCAGGCAGCCGCTAGCGCACCCGGCTCCGCGCGGCCCCTGGACGCGAGCACCGCCCCCGACGGCAGCCCCGGACGCCGCGCCCCGCACACGCCTCGCGCTCCCTTCACCTGCGCCGCCCGCGGGGCCCGACGGAGGGACAGCGCGCCGCTGGGGACACCGAGGCACGGCCAGGCTGCCGTCGCTCGCGAGCGCCCGCGCCTGCAGGAAGAGCCAACATGCTGGCCCCGCGCGGAGCCGCCTTCCTCCTGCTGCACCTGGCCCTGCAGCCGTGGCTGGGGGCCGGCGCCCAAGCCACCCCCCAGGGTAAGTGGGCTCGCGCCGGGGCGGGGGGCGACGGTCCCCGGGTCCCTCCTTCCCGCTCCGCTTGAACGACAGGAGGGACCAACTCCGCGCGCGCTTCTTGGCCCCTGGCACTTCTCTGTCCCTCTGGGGCCCGAGTCACAGCATTTTGTAACTGGAAGTGGTGATTAGAGTATAGCATTTTCTGAGTCCATTATCCAGCGATGAGACCAATTCTCTAAGCAACAGCTTAGGGGATGCGAAACTTTTCAGTCTATGCGAAGAAGTGGGGTTCATTTCAGAGCTTACCACACGGCTCTAGACTTCTAACAGGTCCTGCCTGGAGTGGGGTGAAATCCAGGTTCTGTCCCCTGCGGCTCTCTCTGGCGGGCCATCCCTTCACCCTTGGCCCCCTAAATTCTCCGACGCGGCGGGAGTGATGTTCCCCCAGAAAGTCTGAGACCGTCATTTCCCAGAAGGGCACAGCATTACTCTGTTTGCCCCACCACTCCCTGTTTTCTGTCCTCTGTTTGGACCCCAACGCCTCCTTTGGGAGGCGTGATCTCTTGATTCCCGAGATAAATAGAGCAGGAAGGACTGAGAAGTCGGTGTTTCTCTTACAGAGGTAAAAAAAAAAAAAAATCGATAAATACATTAAAAAGACACCTGAGTAATCCTCAAACCCCTAATTGAGATGGGGTGAAAATAACCGTTGGGCAGAACACAAGCTTAAACTGATTTTTTTTTTTTTTTTTTTTGCAAAGGCCGAAAGGAAGAAATTATTTAAGCAAGAAAAGATCTTAGCGCTCTAACAGGCCATCCAGTGATGACCTTCACCTGTTGATGTATTACTGAATAATGAAATAAAGCTGGGAGAGTCACACAGGTCCAAGTAAAAGTTGTTACTTCTCACAAAGCCAGAGTGAAGAATGCCTGTGAGGGAATTCTCAAAGTCCTTCCCCTTCCATTGCAGTAATCACCCATTTAAACTTTGCATTTCACCAAATAACTCCTTTTGATTTTAGACCAGGAAACCAAAATAGTGGTTTCAGGGGGTAATGTTCTGCATTTAGTTTGCCTTGAACTATTTGAAATGCTGTAATCTATATTCATTGTGACTGCTCTTCTAGGAAGGTGGACAACAGTGATTCCGTAATTGTATACATTGTAAAATGATCACCACGATAAGTCTAGTTAACATCTGTCACCATACAGCATTAGAAAAAATTAATTTCTTGTGATGAGAACTTTTGAGATCTTCTCTCTTAGCAACTTCCAATTATCCAATACCATATTATTAACTATAGTCAGCATGCTGTACTTTAAATCCCCATGACTTATTTATTTTAAACTGGAAGTTTGTACCTTTTGACACCTTTCACCCATCCCCTTCCCCCATTCTGTTCTCTATGAGCTTGGGTGGTGGTGGTTGTTGTTGAAGATTCCACATATAAAGTGAGATCATGCAGTATTTGTCTTTCTGTGTCTCACGTATTTCACTTAGCATAATGCCCTCAAGGTCCATCCATGTTGTCACAAATGGCGAGATTTCATTCTTTTTTATGGCTAAATAATATTCCATTATATACAAATACCACATCTTCTTTATCCATTCATTATTAATGGACACGGGTTGTTTCCATCTCTTGGCTATTGTAAATAATGCTGCAGTGAACATGAATCTGCATATATCTTTTTGAATTAGTGTTTTGAGGTTTGGGTTTTGTTTTGTTTTGTTTAATAACTACCCAGCAGTGGAATTGCTAGATCATATGTAGTTCTATTTTTAGTTTTTTAAGTATCCTCCACAGTGTTTTCCATAGTGGCTGCACCAATTTACATTCCCATCAACAGTGCACCAGAGGTCCCTTTTCTCCACATCCTCACCAACACTTGCTATTTCTTTGATAATAGCCATTCTAACAGGTGTGTGGTGATTACTCATTGTGGTTTTAATTTGCATTTCCCTGATGATTCCTGATGTTGACCACCTTCTCCTGTGCCTGTTAGCCATCTGTATGTCTTTGGATAAATGTCTGTTCAGATCTTCTGCCAACTTAAAAATCAGATTGTTTGGGTTTTTTGCTATTGAGTCGTATGAGTTCTTTATATGTTTTGGATATTAATCCCTTATCACATAGGATTTATAAGTATTTTCTCTCATTCTCTAGGTTATCTTTTCCTTTTGTTGATGGTTTCTTCTGTGCAGAAGCTTTTCTGTTTGATGGAGTCCCACTTGTTTATTTTTGCTTTTGTTGCCTTTGCTTTTTGATGTTAGGAATCTTTTTAACACAATTCAAAAGTTTTCTGATTACAGACATTGTTTGGCAGTTTTGAATTTGCGGGTATAATATTTTGTGTTCCATGAATTCTTGACATTTGAACACACAACTTCATGGTGTGCTACAGGTATGGATTTTGCTGCTTCTTAGAGCTGCCTGTTTTATGGGACTTAAAATCAGGCTATACTACCTAAATTACCTGGTTAATTAGTTGCTGTAGATTATCAGATTAAGTCAAGTTTCTGATAGATTCTTTTATTGAGTTAATTAGTGCTTAGATCCTGGCACTATTACGAAAATGTAATAGCATTAATGGAAAATTGTTGTGTCTCATTTCCTTTTCAAAACACTCTCCAAACTCATTACTAACTAATCCCAACTCTGCCCCTTGAGAGAGAAGCCAATGGATTAGATGAACCTTGCAGACTGAAATAGAGTAAATTTAGCTTGAGCTAGATTATGAACATAATCATAGATCAAGAATCAGGGATAATAAGAGTTTAGTTTTGAGTGCAATTCACATACCTTAAACTCACATCTGCAGATGCTTTATCCTGAATGGAACTTCTAGACATACTGTCTGATTGCCCTTGGCTCTTAGTGGTGGAAATGTAAAGCTTCCAGTTCTTTGGAAATTAAAAAATTCTGTTTCCCCTTTGAATTACAGTAGGCAGCAGTATTCAAGTTTTAGGGGAATGTGGAGTGCTGGAAGGAACATAATAGATTTTCTGCTTTCCAGTATTTCTAGTATCAAATTCATTATTTTGTAAGACCCTAAGTGCATGAGAAAGAAACAATACAGATCCGGTATAAAGACAGGTTGTCTTTTAAAGAATAGATATTCTTGAGTAAATAGGTTTTTGCCTGTTTGTCTTACAACTTTTATTTTTTTTCCTACTGCAAAAGCAACACCTGTTAATTGTAAAAAATAAAAAATTGGATAAGCAAAAGAAAAGTAAATAAACGTATAATTATACAACCCAGAGATAGCTACTGTTCATGTTAACATTCTGTTGTGTTGTCTTTCAAATCTTTGCAGGGGCGCCTGGGTGGCTCAGTTGGTTAAGCATCTGCCTTCGGCTCAGGTCATGGTCCCAGGGTACTGGGATCGAGCCCCACATCGGGCTCCTTGCTCAGCGGGGAGCCTGCTTCTCCCTCTGCCTGCCGCTCTCCCTGCTTGTGCGCTCTCTCTCTCTCTCTCAAATAAATAAAATCTTAAAAAAAATTATTAGACAGGGCGCCTGGGTGGCTCAGATGGTTAAGTGTCTGCCTTCAGCTCAGGTCATGATCTCAGGGTCCTGGGATCGAGCCCCGCGTCGGGCTCCCTGCTCAGCGGGAAGCCTGCTTCTCTCTCTCTCCCTCTACTACTCCCCCCTGCTTGTACTCTCTCACTTTCTCTGTTGAATAAATAAAATCTTTAAAAAAAATTTTAGAGGCTAACGTTCCTGCAGGCTGTGGAATTGTTCAAACAATATTTGTATAAACCAACAGAAATACTAAGTAACTTCTAGTGAGTATTACCCATTTGGCCTTTGCCTTTAAAATCACTCTGGATGTACACTCTTACAGCTTGCACAAATATTACAAAGCTTGAAAGTACTGCTGGCTTAATCAAAAGCAATTTATATAAATACAAATGCAGATTACAGTTTTTGTAGACCACCTCTGTCAGGTTACAGTTAAGAAAGAGAAACCCCATTGTTTTATTTTTATATCAGAATTTTTTTTTTTTAAGTAAGCCCTACACCCAACATGGGCTTGAACTCACAATGCCAAGATCAAAAGTTGCATACTCTACTGACTGAGCCAGCCAGGCACCCCTGCATCAAGATTTTTAACAGAGAAATAGTGGAGAACTCTAAATGCATAACGGGAACACTTGGGTCTCACAGAGGCAGCGAATCATTTTTCTGGCATACTGTGTCCCACCACATCCATGATTTCTGCTGCATTCCCTGTCTCATTTACACTGACCAAGAAAAGTACAATTGGCTCTGGTCCACGGGGTGCATGAGGGACCCTAAGGCAGATATCCACTGCTTGGGGACATAAGAGAAACAGTGACTTGTGTGCTCTCACCTGTCCCCTTTGTACTGTAGGTCGGTAGTGCTTTTCCTAGTGGGCATTTTCAGAGCCACTTCTTTGGCCAAATGCAATTTAGGGTTTGCAAATTTAGTCTTCTCTTGGGGGCCATGACCTAGTGAGGAAAATTGTGTTGTACTTTATCTGGTTCAAATGTCCAGCCACTATAAGAGTGATAAGGAAGAACGGGCGATTTTAGCCATGTGGAAAATGATAACAGTGTTAGTTGACGTTACTTCTATCTTACTGTCAAACTGTGCCCCCTCAAAAAAAACATGTTTGTCTCAAACTTCGTTCACTGATTATCCCCTTTTTCCTGTTCTCCCCAGTCTTTGACCTTCTCCCATCCTCTAGCCAGAGGCTGAACCCAGCTGTTCTGCAGCCAATCCTGACGGACCCCACCCTGAATGAGGTCTATGTGATCTCCACCTTCAAGCTGCACACTAAAAGTTCAGCCACCATGTTTGGCCTTTACTCTTCAACGGACAACAGCAAATACTTAGAATTCACTGTGATGGGACGCTTGAACAAAGGTAAGCACATTTGCAGAAATCATTTTCTTAAGAATCTGCTTTTCCTATTCCAGCATTTGGGGTCTACTTGTCTTAAATGTTTCCCTCCTACAATTTTATTCTCATCCACCATTCGTTTCAGTTTCAATACCAAGTTCTTCTTATTGTACATTGACCTGTATGGGGAGGGCGAGTTGATATATGGCACGAGAAGAAGAATTGCTTGTGGCCAAAATATCCATCCTCCTGTTATTTGGGATCCAGTTTGGGAAGGAACAGGACCCAGGACCATTAGGCCGCTGTCTTAGTTTGGGCTGTTACAGCAAATACTACAGACTGGGTGGCTCAAACAAAAGACCTTTATTTCTCACAGTACTGGGGGCTGAGTAGTCCAAGATCAGGGTGCCAGCAGATTTTGTTTCTGGAGAAAGCCTGGGTGTTGCCACCTTCCTGCTCTGTCCTCACATGGCCTTTCCTCGCCGTGTGTGAGTGGAGAGCGGGAGCTCTCCGGCTTCCCTTCCGTATAAGTATACTAATGCCATCATGAGGGTCCCACCCTCGTGACCTGACTTAAACCTAATTACTTCCCAAAGACCCACTTCCTAATACCACCACATGGAAGGCTGGGGCTTCAACAGATGAATTTGGGGGGAGGGAGGGACACAAACATGCATCCTGTAACCGCCACCCACACCATTCTTATGTTCCCTTGGAAGCATGTGGCTTAGCAGACCTCACTCCCAGCTCTGCAAGCACTCCTGGACTTGGAGAGAATCTACCTCAGTCAGTAGAACTCAATGAACAGCTCTCTTTTCCACCTGTCTTGTGCCGACTTTCACAGGTCTGACACCTGTTTGGTTGTTTTGCTGTCAAATGTCACTGTCATTCAGAATGAGTTACTACAAATACTAAGAAGTGGCTCACAAAGAAAAGGGTCACTCTTTTTTCATCTCCTTCCCCTCCACCCATGCCCTGAGGACAACACCTGTTCCTGCTTATGGAGGAATGTGACAGATACGTGTTCCTGCTGCCACATGCTTTTTTTTTTTCTTTAAGATTTTATTTATTTATTTTGACAGAGACACAGCAAGAGAGGGAACACAAGCAGGGGGAGTGGGAGAGGGAGAAGCAGGCTTCCCCTCGAGGAGGGAGCCCCATGTGGGACTCAATCCCAGGACCCTGGGATCATGACCTGAGCCGAAGGCAGACGCTTAACGGCTGAGCCACCCAGGCGCCCCTGCCACATGCTTTTAATAAAAGAGAAAAAGGGAGGACTGGCCCTTCTGGCAAGATTTCATATTTATTTCAGTTTACTTTACTTGTAGTGCTTCAGACTCTATCAGATTCCAATTGTGATTGAGCACTTACATTTTCAGATATTAGGAGCTGAAAGAAATTCTTCATTCTTAGCTTTCATAAGACTCCAGAGTTGAAAGCAAGAAGGAATGGGATTTTAACCCCTTTTATGTCAAGTTCCAACCTCCCCCTACCCCCCCCCCACACTCACATGTGCTCCATCTGTCCCTTAGGCCTCTCAGGAGCTGTGGTGAGGTCTCCAGTAGTGAAGGGGGTCTGGGGACATGGCTCAGCAGATGGTCTAACCATTCCTGCGCCCTTTGCCCCATCCGTAGCCCTGATGGGAGGTGACTTCACTTACCTCCCTACCTTGAATCAGACAGCCCCATGCCTCCCATCCCTAAAGGAACTGCTCATGCTCTACTAACCAGGCTATTCAGTTTGTGATCTATAAAAACCACCCTTCTTCGTCCAAAGATCAATAGCTTCTCACAGAACTGTGTGTTTTAGAGGCATTGAAAGATTTTCGTTTAGCTCACCCAGTTTAGTGGCCAAAGGGTCCTCTGTAGAGTGAAAAACCCTGCATCTAGCTGTTCACCCTCACTGACTCTCCCCCTCCATTTCGAAATTGGCCAGTATGCGTGAGCCCATTGTGGAAAATCTGTGTTTCCTGGAAACGCAAGGCAGCAACTTCCCGGAATTGATTTTCTGTTTGCTCTACATGGGCAGAGGTAACGCTAGATGGGAAGGTGGAGAGGCCACGGTGTTTGTAAGTGTGTTTCCTTCGGACAACCACTGGTCATGTGATTGAGCTGTAAACATCAGCTAATCTCCATGTTGATGAACACCTCTCCACCCTCCAACCTATTAGAGAAGATAAATAGCTCTTAGAATTCTTTTTATAAATATTTTCTAACAGAATCCAGAAATGAAAATTTTCAGAAAACAAAGAGCAATTTATATCAGAGTTTGGAGAGTTGAAGAATTTGACCTAGAGAAGTTTCACTGGAACACTAGGAAAAAGTACAGAGATTTGCCAACACTGGTGAATCTGAAGGTTCTAGAAAAGAGCAGCAGCCCATTCTGATGGGAACAAGGAGAACTCATTGGGTCCATTAGCTCCCCGGAAAAGACGGGGCATGTGGTTGTGACTCCCCGTTGAGGTATTCGATGGTGACCATGCAGGCCTGACCTAATTTGAGGGGGTTGGGGGAGAATCCTCTTCCCAGAAGGTGAGCCCCAATCATTATCTAGGGCCCTAGATGCGCTCCTGAGGACTGCGCAGCACAAGCTTGCCGCCGAGCTCTCTGCTTCTGCTCTCACACTCCCAAGTCATCCTTCCCGTGGCTGCATATTACGGTTATAAGCATAACTTGGAACGAGTTATGCCTGACAGCAGAGACATTTAGTGTCTTCCTATTCCCAACTGAAAAAGGTACGAGTGTCCTTGCTAGGCAGGCAGGATTTTCTGCTGCATGACCCCCAACCCGCCTCTCCAATTTATCCCTCCTTCCAACCCTCCATGTAGCCTATGCTTCAGCTGGATGGACTAGTTACCATTCCCTGGGCCCACCCATGCTGTCTGTCCTTCTCCGTCCTTGTACCCTTGCCCTCTGCTCCCCACTGGTACCATTTCCTGCACCGTCTACAGTTGCCATCTCCTATTCCTTCTGACCTCTTTTATTATGGGATTTTGTCCTTCTGTAAAATGTACTAATCTTAGCTTACCTTGTACTTGGATTACCTCTAGGTCTTCTCTGCAGTAGGTTGTAAGCTCCCTCAGAGCAGGCGCTGAGCCTCCCTCAGCTCACGTTTGTGTCTGTTGCAGCACCTAGCACAGTGCCTCATACATAGAAGTAGCTCGTGAGCAAACTGAATAGAATAAATGGAGGCTGAGAAGAGTAGCCTTGTTTGTTAAAGAAGACATGCAGTATTGTGTAAATTCTGGAAGTGCACAATGTCCGGCACATAGTGGGGCTGGCTCAAATTCATTAATGAATTGATGAATTTTGAAGACCATTTGGATGGGGTTATAAAGGAAATATAGTATTTCTGGTATAAATGTTCTATCAGGTTGTTAGGGATACAGGTGATACAATTTTGATAGAAATAAGCGTTCTACAGAAACCACCTGGCTGGACAGAAGATCTGGTTGATGCTTTTCTTGTATCTAGCATAGGGCAACTTTCCAGTTAGTATTTTGAGTTCGAGTCACAGTTAAAAATCTTAACAGCTGTGTCCTCGTGAATATGTCTCTAAATTGCTTAGCCCTGGTTTACTGTTTCTACAGTGGGGGTGATAATAGCTGCTTCACAGGTTGATTGCAAGAACTGAATTATATAAAGTACAATTTTTTTTAGACTGCGAAGCTCAGTAAAAATTTGAGGTTCTGCCATAAGCTTCTATAAGATAGGTAGAAAGGAAGACGAGGGAGAGAGAAAGATCTCTACTTTTTTGGCAACTGTCTTCTGAAGATGATTTGGTGAACTCTTGGCTTGCCTTGATAAGGCCTTCACCTTTCAGAGAAAGCAAATAAGGGGCACCTGGGTGGCTCCGTTGGTTAAGCGGCTGCCTTCAGCTCGGGTCATGATCCCAGGGTCCTGGGATCGAGCCCCGCATCGGGCTCTCTGCTCAGCCAGGAGTCTGTTTCTCCCTCTCCTTCTGCCCCTTCCCCACTCATGTTCTCTCTCTCTCTCTCTCAAATAAATAAATAAAAATCTTAAAAAAAAAAAAAAAGCAAACAAGAAGAACTGCTTCTTTAGTCTTAATTTGACTGCCACTGTGGTGGAGCTGTGGTAATGAAGGGAACCCCAAGAATTTGCAGTAATGACTGCAGATGGTCAAGCTTCTTAGCCTAAGGTTAGGACGTGTCAAATAGAGTAATCGTTCACAGAGAAGCCTGTGGGCTAAAGAGAAACACAGCATGAGAGCGAGAGAGAGAGAAGAGTTTCAAAGTTAGAATTCTGAACCTGGTACTGAAGGTGGAAAATGAGGTGCATCAGACATTAATATTTATGGAGCCCTTTTAATGTACCAGGACTGTGCCTGACGTCTAGTAGCTATTTAGAAATGTTCGCTGAATGAATGAATGAAAAGATACAGTGATGTAACAGTTTTTTAAAATCTCCTTAAATTTTAGGCTTCACTAACGCATTTATGTGGCCAGATTAAGGGAGCTAATGCATCCCACCTTAATGTTAACTGTCCAGGCCACACCTAAAATGTTGTGTCTCATCCTGGACACATTTCACAGGGACACTCTCAAGTCCAAGATTGCCTTAAGGAGAGTCACCAAAACAGTAGTCCTCTAGACCCCATTTTTTACAATATCACAAAATCAGAATGTTAAAGGATCTGGAGAAATAAAGGAACCAGACTGAAGACGAGAGAGATGAAAGTTGCCTTAAAATATTTGAAGAATAGCATTTAGATGAAGGATGAGACTAAATCTGTCTATAGCTCTGAAGAATACAATTAGGACCCATTGGTGGAAATCAGAGGGAATCGGCTCTGTATTTGGAAAATCTTGGAGAGCAATCCGGAAGTGAAGTGGGTTTCTCTGCGAAGTGATTCGTTCCTTGTTCCTGGAAATGTGCTGGTAGATACTTACATTGAAAGGATTTGTGAAGGAGATACTGAGCTAGATGACTTACAGTGCTCATGTTCTGTGGTTCTGCTGAGGCCAGAGAGGTTCCATGGGCGCTGAAGGAATTGCTTTGCAGCTCTCTTCTACAACCTGACCTTGGGATTTTGTACACAATCACAGCTTTGTCGTCCGCAGATAATTGAGTACATAATGAA